ATGCACTGAGTTCTGTTAATGAAGAATCAGTCAGAAACACTAACTGCAAATGAACATGAGCTTGCTCCAAAAGCCTCGAGAGCCTGTGGTATTATGGGCTGACCTATAGTTCCATAATGATTCCTTTGTGCAGAAAAAATGAAAGCAACAAATGTGATTTCCACATCCCCTCCCCATCTCAGGCTGCTGATAAAGGAGCTGAAAAAGATTTCTATCCCACCTATGACAACTGGTCTTGGTTGACCACTTTACCAGATTAAAAGCTAGTTGGGCCTGGTGAGAAGCACCTTGGTTAGAGATGTGGGACAATGGAGAGGTTATGGAACCTTTAAGAGGTAGAGCCTAGCTGGAGGACATGGGTCACAGGGAAGGGGTAGATTGCAGAGAGAATTGTTTGGCCTTAGTCCTGACTGCAGACCTGATGTCGCCAACTATCTCATTACCACTCCCATGTAACTGCCTGATACCATGTTGTCCCTGCCATGATGGACTATTTAACTTCCAACCATGAGCCAAAAGATCTTCTCTCCCTTTAGCAATTTTGGCCATAGTGGTGAGAAAAGTTTGTGATCCGATATTTGCTAAGAAGTTTGGGCTCTCTTTCCTTTACTTTTTTTATCTTGGAAATAAGGAATGGTTTGCAAGGACCTTATAAAACATTCAAGGTAGCTGTTCTTAAATTTTTGAGATTGTGTTTTCCTTTGGGACTCCAGTGATAAATGTAGACCTTTCTCAGAAACAAATTTGAATATAAATAACAAGCTTCTGTGGTTATCTCCAGGGTGTTCATTGAATTCCGGTAGCCTGAGCAGAGGCACTCATGTAGCAACAGCCTTTATGGCTATGGATCTATAACCTGGGGTGTGAATGTGTGTGCTTGGAAGATATACATATATACACATGTGTGGGTAGGTGTGCATGCTTGTACACACAGAGACGCCAGAGGAGGACATCAGGTGTTCTGCTCTGTCACTCTTTGCCTTATTTCCTGAGACAGGATTTCTCATTGAACTTGGAGCTAGGCTGGCACCAGCAAGTCCTACTGGTCATCCGGCCTCTATCCTTCACAGCACTAGAGTTACAGGTGTATATTACGACATCTGTCTTTTGATGGGAGTGCTGGGGGTTGAACCCAGATCCTCTGCTTGCACAGAAGGTGCTCTTATTCACTGCTCCATCTCCCTGCCTTCTATGACTATAAATATATATATATATATATATATATATATTTATAGTCATTATTCATTGAAAACAACCATCATGAAAAGTAAAGTAACTGCAAGAGCTGCCATTGCTGCATGAGAAGGAGAGATTATAATTGTGTATCACTATGGTTCAAAGCATGTCAGTAGGCTACTGATACAGTTGGATGTTAATTACTAAATATGTTAAGGGTGGATATGATCTAAGACAGTGTATTAATGCATGAATTATCAAAGAATACATGAACAATGGAGGAAAAAAAAGAAGAGCCAGCTTAGAGAAATCAGAAATACGTTGTACTCATTTGCTGAGGAGAAACTGTCTCTGTGACCATGGAATTCACTCTGCAAGCTTGCCTGAAAAGGAAGTTTAGAAAAAGACAAAAAAAAAATTGTCAAAGGCCAGCAAGATGGCTCAGTGGGTAAAGGCACTTGCTGCCAAGTCTGAAGATCTGGGTTCAGTTCTCCAGGATCCATGTGGTGTAAGGAAGGAATGGACTCTGCAAGTTGTCCTCTAATCCCCACAGGCATGTGTGGCACCCACACTACCCACACACAGTAAAAGCAACACAATAGAGATGAACAAATTACTTAAATTATTTTATAGATCTATACAAGCATGACAGAAAATAAAGAGCTTTCAGGATTCACTGAAGTACTGACTTCTGGACAGAAATAGAGAGGGCAAAGTCACTGTAAGATGCGGAGAGGTCTACATGCAAAGCTCTCATCATAGAAAAGGAAGACTAGAACAGATGTGATGGAACATTACACACTGGCCATCTACACGGAGGGTGGAGCGAACGCCATGCTACAGTCTCCCATTGTCTACATCCACACATCAAGGCAAAACACTGAAAACAGGAAAATAACGTATTGTCCAGTCCATGAGAACATCAAGGCAAATTAATGAAAAGGTGAACATGCTTCCCAAACTGTAAATATCATGAAACATTTGTAGAATATAAGCATCCCACATGTAATTTAATCTCGTTTAAATTCAACACCAAAGGGTGAGGAAGCAGGGTAGCACGCTTTTGTAACAGCACCTGTGTGTACAGGAATAGTCATAGGCTCTACATTTTCAGTGTCTTTCTATTTCTATTTCTCTTTAAAACAACAAGAACAACAAAACATCTCATTTGATTTTTAATTACCTGTTTGGCTGGGTGGGGATACGTGCGCCTGTGAGTACAGTGCCAATGGTGGCCAGGAGATGTCATTTATATGCCTGGAACTGGAGTTTCAGGCAGGTCTGAGCTGCAGGATGTAGGTGCAGGGAACTGGAGTTTCAGGCAGGTCTGAGCTGCAGGACGTAGGTGCAGGGAACTGAACGTAGGTCCTGTACAAGTGCAGCAAATGCTCTAACCACTGAACCATCTCTCCAGTCCCCTCTTTTCATAAGAGTCACCACATTCTCCTCAGACTCTTGGGTTTCTAAGAAGCACCTTGGGATGAAGGTAATGTTGTAAAGAAACACCCTACTCTACATACACTAGCACCCTCTTTGTTATATTAAATATCCTATTTATTTATTTACTTACATTTGTTGCCCGTTTGTGAATATGCCATGGCACTGGTGTTGAAGTCAGATGATAACTTATGGGAATTGTTTTTCTCTTTCCACCATGAAGGCCCTGGGTATTGAATTTGGGTCTTTACTCTTAGCAGCAAGGGCATTTTTTCCCTACTGAGACATATTGCTGGCCCCTTGTGAGCAAAACATATCAAAGATTAACTGTTGTTGACTGCTAGAATCCCATCTCCAGAATTCAGTGAGGGAAGCTTGTTACTTTTGTTATGACTTTTCATCTCTGTTCATGTGACCAAGAGCCCTATTCTGACACACATAGTGGGTAGGTGCTCTTGGTATGACAACTGAAGACACTTCTGCTTCGGTGAGGAGGCCATATCCAGACCTGGGAATTCTGCCATATTATATGGAAGTCATGCAAACTCATCCTCAAAACTCAACCGGGCCTGAGACACAGTTGATCATGACACAGGAAGTTCCTTACTTCTGCCAAGCTCAGGACTAGTTGTATTGCATGTAAATTAGAAACATCCAGAAGCCCTTTGCTAGGTTGAGAGACTGAGTTTTCCTGAGACAATGAAACTGAGAGGTGTAGATATGCTGAACCACCATAGAAGTCAGCATTGGGCTTCCATGGAAGTCAGAATGGAGCCGCCACAGAGTCACTAGACACCAGTGGAAAAACATGGTGGTCTAGATAATGCTACTTAAACCCCTGGGTCTTATAGTGTCTTGACTATTCAGGGGCATCAAATAGTCAATTCCTTTATTGCTCTAAATACACAGGGGGGCCTTTTGTTTTTGTTTTTGTTTTTTTCCAAATTAAAATGTACAAGAATCAAGAATCTCTCCTTTACACCAAGCAATGGAAAACTACTGTTATGTGTAAGTTCCACCCTTGGACTGTCTCTCAGAAAGTTATGCCTGCATCCTAGGAGGTTGTCCGCTACAGACACAGCACTCCTGTTCCCTCTCAGGACTTGGTCTCATCATCACCTAAGGTGATAGAACCGCACCACTCTTCCTCTTCCTCGCCCTGCCCATTCCTGGTCCAGAGTTTCTTGTACACTGAGATGGCAGATCTAAACCATAAACTTTTTTATTCACAAAGAATAGTGTGTTTTCATGTCTGTATGCATGTGTAGGGAAGTGCACATGCATGTGTGAATGCAGAGGTTTGAGGCAGAGTATCATCTTTGGAAACTCTGCCTCCTTATTTTGGAGACAGGGTCTCTCATTGGCTTAGAGCATATTGACTTGCTGGGGTCAGGTCTTTCAGGGAGCCCTAGAGGTCCTCTTGGCTCCACTCCCTCAGCACTGGCACTCCAAACACATTAAACAAACAAACAAACAAACAAACAAACAAACAAAAAACTGGATTCTGGAGGATCCAATTACTCAATTCCTCATGCTTCTGTGGCAAATATTTTACTGACTGGACCATCTTTCCAGCCTCCCACGAAACAAAGCTTAATCTGGATATATCAAAATGACTAGTTTTGTTATTTCTGAGTATTCGTTAGAATTGAAAGTTAATCATCTTTCAGGATCTGTATTAAAGTTAACGCAGATTTTACAACGTGAACACTTGAATGGTGGGAGTGATGGATACATTCCATTTACCCACGAAGGACACAGGCTCACGTATCCTAGAGCATGCTGAAGACAGTTACAAAGCTGAATTCCTTCATTTTTCATCAAATGGGAACAGCTGCTGAGAGGCTTGCAAACATCTAGGGCAGAACAAGAGAAACCTCACAAAAGAACTGTCTTCAGGCAGGAAGTGTGTGAGCCAAGAGCCTTGAAAAATCACCTTAGAGAATAATAAAGCTGGTAAATTCTAAAAAGGGAGGCTGAGTTCCCGAAAAGAGGCAAGCCCAGGATCGCAGAGATGACAATATATATTAGCCTCCAGATGTCCTCATTCATTCAGGTTTTTTGCCAGTTTCACGCACAGCAGAAGATGAACTATCAAACAAGTCCCTAGGCTACGAGGAAACTAACTGCATCGGGAAGAGGGAAATTAACCCAAACCTCACGTTGTGTGACATGCTTTTTCTGGGGAGATGCAACACATATGCACACACACACACACACACACACACACACACACACACACACACACACCCCTGTTCACCCGGATAGGTGATTTATGACAAACCCAAGTAATGATTTCATAATGTTTCACATGGACAATTTCACATGGAGCATTATTGAGTTTCTATTGGGGTTACTAATAGGATTGTGGGTCAGGGGTCACTTACAGGATCAGGGATGACTCAAAAGCAGTTGCTTCATGGAAAAGCTCACCCCAACCAAGCAGACAGCTCATGAAAGCTGCAATCCTGTGGCTTTCTGTACAACTTGCAGGCAGCTGAACAGCTCCAAATGTCTCCTCTCAGCTCGGCCAGTCAGTGTCCTCTCTCCATGAGCTGCATGCTCCTTCTACAAAACTGGGGAGGAGGCTTCTAGAATCTTCTAAGTTTCCGCTTTCCCAGGCATGTGCATTTTGTTTGCCTTCTGAGTCTCTTGATCCTCCCCACCATCCTGTAGGGAATGTTTCATTTTGGAGGAAACTGCCAAACAATGCAATGTGTTCCAAGAAAAGGAGAGGGAAAAACCCAACAAGAAGTGGAATTGATAGGTGAATTCCTAGTGTGGGTTATGGCTGAGATTTAGCCAAAAACTTTATCTCCATCCTTCCTAAGTTCCTCACTTAACATCTACAGAACATAAGATTTTTATGAGCCAATGAGAGTTCTATTAGAGACAAGTTGCTCAAATATTCATATATGGATTATATACATGTATATATGTATATATATAATTTATCAGACACTTTTGAATACTGTGGATGAGGCACCATGTGGAAGGTGCCGCATATGCTCTACAGGCAGAAGGTGTGGAGGTGGGTGGGAAGTAGATGATGCCTGTGTTCAAGAAGTGTACAGACTCCAAGGAAGTTCCTCCACCATATGTTTTACCATGCTAAATAACAATAAATACGGTGCTGTGTTCTAATTTATTCTTTCCAGTAGAGCCACTGTAAATGGCTTTGTCCACAGATCCTAAGAGACCACACAGGTTTGAAGCATTTGGAAATTTCATGTACATGTGAAGGGTAGATATGAAGCATTGACCTCCTATGCCCTTACCCCATACTTTCTTTATGGTTCTTCAATTACAACCCACCCTTTAGTCTTTCTCCTAATTCTTTACCTTTTGCAAAGCTTTCTTTAAGTCTCCCCCACAGATGCCATCCTTCCCATGAGCTGTTGTAACATATTACTGAAACATTTTGGGGGCATGCATAGTACTCAGCTGCTGTGGGAAGGCCTATCTCCTGTGACTGTAAACATTTTATATATTAACCACTTCCCAGAGCATACTAAAGTAAGAGATCCAAGTACATCAAATGAATGTCACTTCTTTCCAGTTTCTTCAGAGTCTTCTCACCAATCAACCCTGTCATCATTGTTATTCAAAAATGGACCTTAAGAAATAAGCATGGAGAATGTAATGCTGTAATAAGAAATAACTAGAACAAACCCAATTAGTCAATATCATGTGAGCTTGTCTCCCATAAAGCATAATACAATACACAATACTCCCATAAAGCAAAATACAAGCCAAAGGAGCAGCTACTGAGAACTATAGCTTGCTTATCAATGATCTCACGTGAAAATATAAGGAATTCTGATAATGTGACCTGTGTAGGGATGTGAAAGAGTTGTCAATGATGTCTGGGAATGCATAGAATCCAAAGCCTTAAGGGTTCAGTCAACTGTCAGAGTGATAAACAGAGGAAGAGGAGGACTAAGCTTTAATGATCTTTAGAAGGTTACTAGCAAGTAAAAGTCAGACATAGGCATATACCAAATGTGTCTCTATCTGTTTTGATGATATTGCATTCAATTTCAACCATAAAAATAAGTAAACCTCACATGCTTGGTGTCTGGTTAGCTTTCATTGTCACCTTGTCATAGCCTAGTGTCATCTGAGGAGAAAGCCCAAGTTTAAGAATTGCCTTGCCTTGTTCAAGGTTGATACGATGGTCTTTGTATTATCTTATGATATTCTAGTGTGTTATGCTTTGCTGTTGTTTCTTAGAAACTTGTTCTTTTCTAATGAGACAGAATGGAAGTGCATCTGGATAGGAGGGGACATGGAGAGGAACTAGGAGGAGTAGAGGGAGGGGAAACTGTAATCAATCAGGATATATTGCATGAAAAATATATTTTCAATAAAAGAGGGAAAAAGAAAACAAATAATTGCCTAAGTCAGATTGGCTGTGGGCATGTCTGTAGGGGTTTGTTCTGATTATTAACTAATACAGGAAGGTCCAGCCCACTATGGGCACCTCCATCCCTAGGCAGGTTCCACCTAGGTTGTATAAGAAAGCTAGTTGAGCATGAACCTGTGAGCCAGCAACTCCTCTATGGTTTTTGCTTTGGGTTTTTGCTTACCTTTCTGCCCTGACATCCCACAATGCTGGATTGTGACTAGGAAGTGTGAACCAACTAAACCTTTTCCTCTCCTACACTGCTTTTGGTCATATCATTTTATCATGCAACAGGAATGAAACTAGAACATCCAGTTATTTATAACCCACCAGGAATACCCTCCAAGCAGGTGGCAGACCTGCCTAGAGCACTTTCCCTTAGACAGAAGCATGTTCTAATGATGGCAGCAGCCAAGCTGATGCCCACAACTGCCCTCAAAGGGAACATCTTAAGTGACAATTCCAATTTATTTTCTTTTACTTGGTCTCTGGCAGAATTGGCCCATGTTAACTGACACCGAGAAAGGGAGAGAGAAGAATGCAGCGGGTCTGTTTAGACCCAGTTCAAAACAGAAGAGCATCCAGAGACAGGCTCACTGGGTTGTTAAATGCTCCTCTGGGTTTGCTCTAGATGAGAGGTTAGATCTTAGGCAGGCCTCTCAGATGGCTGCCTGCTCTCCTAGTTTTACTTTATGGTTGTGATAATAAGGCCAAAAGGGACTTAGAAAGAGAGGGGTTAATTTCATCTTAGACTTCTAGGTAATGATGCGTAACTGAGGGAAATCACACCAGGAACCTGAAGCTTAGACCTTGGAGGAACGTTCTTTACTAGCTTGCTCTCCATGACTTGCTCACTTTGCTTTCTTATATGGGCCAGAGAGATGGCTTTGAGATTGCTTGCTGCCAAGACTGATGACTTGAGTTCAATCCCTGAGACCTCCATGGTGAAAAGAGAGAACAGACTCCTGCAAGTTGACCTCTGACCTCCACACATGCACCAGCACATGTGTAACCACCCTCTGTGATATAGATACACACACAAAATGAATAAGTGTTAAGTTAAAAATCTATGCCAAATAGATTTCACCTCATAGATTTAATAAAGTAAGAATATTAAGTAAGAATAGAATACTAAATTCTAGTCCTGCTGTGACCAGAAAAGGCAATTTATCTTCAGTGAGGAATCTTTAGAGTGAATTCATTACAGAAACTATCACATTGCCACGTGTCACTCTGGACAGAGGAAGTGTGGGAAGTGTTACCATGATCCCAAGGACTGGACTATGTGATTTTCTGTTGGAGACCTGAGGGAACTTGTATGAATCAGACATTGCTAGTTGCTTGTCGAGTCTTCCTTCTGCTGATGGAGTCCATGTAACATGAGCTATTATTTCCTTCCTTGTAATTAAAGAGAATCTCAGTGAAAAACATGAGCAAAACCCTTAGAACATTCATGTGTGTCTGTTCAGAAACTCTCCAAGAAAGGGCAGTCATCACCATGGCCAGACCTCCAGAAGCAGAAACTCTGGAGTCCTGGCCATTCTCCTTTCATGTCCATCCAAGGCTGGGGAACAGTTACAGAACCCCAAGCAAATGATTCAGAATGTTCTGCTCTATAGCTGCACAGGTTTGTGGTGGTATTGTGTTCCCCAAAATATTGTGAACCCTAATAAACTTATCTGGGGTCAGAGACAGAACAGCCACAATATTAAACATAGAAGTTAGGCAGTGGTAGCACATGCCTTTAATACTAGCATTCCAGAGGCAGAAATCCATGTGTTCAAGGATACAGCTAAGCATGGTGACTCAAGCCTTTAATCCCAGAAAGCAAGCCTTTAATTCCAGGGAGTGGTGGTAGAAAGGAGAAAGGTATATAAGGTGTGAGGACCAGAAACTAAAGGCATTTGGCTGGTTAAGCTTTTAGCTGGTTGAGCTTCAGGCTTTCGAGCAGCAGTTCAGCTGAGGGCCATTTGGGATGAGGACACAGAAGCATCCAGTCTGAGGAAACAAGACCAGCTGAGAAGTTGGCCAGGTGAGGTTAGCTGTGGCTTGTTCTGGTTCTCTGATCTTCCAGTTCACCCTAATACCTGGCTTAGGTTTGATTTTATTAATAAGAACTCTTTTAGATTCATGCTACACAGGTTGGATCGTCTTAGGCTATCTTCATAATATACTGACTGTTGAGTGTGGAAACAGGCAAACACATAAATTTTCTATTGATTTTTCAACAAAGAGACTAAGGCAGTTCACTCAGGAAAGGACAAGATTTTCAACAAACAGCACAATAAAAATTTGATGGCTCTATGCAAAATAACCCCTGAGCAAAGAGAATACACTCCAGACATATTTCACACTACATATTAAAAGGACAACAAACCTGATCACAAGCCCAAACCATTGATAATATGACTTCAGGGGAAATGAAAGGGACCATATCTTTGGAACCTTGAGTTTGGAAGATATAGTAGCATGAATCAAAGGAAGAAATAGATCAATAAACTAAACTACATCAAAACCTGGATTTCAAATTTGAAAAGACACTGTTGAGAAAATGCTAATGTGGTCTCCAGACTGGGAAAAAAATACTTGCCAAAAAACAATTGAACTGATTGGAGAGATGGCTCAACCTTAAAAGACTAGGTACACAGGTAAGAGTATAAGAGTATTTACTGTTTTTGCAGAGGACCAGAGTTATGTTTCTAAAACCCAACTTGGGTGGCTCACAACTATCTCTAAGCTCAGCTCCAGGGGATTCAACAGCCTCTTCTGGCCTCCTCAGGCAATTGCACTCATGCACAAATGTCCATAAACAGGTATACACACACACAAACACACACACACACACATACACACACACACACACACACACACACACACGTACACACATTTACACACATACATGTACACACACAGAAGCAAAGAGAGACAGAGTTACAGAGAGAGAGAGAGAGAGAGAGAGAGAGAGAGAGAAACTAAAAATTTAAATAAAAGACAATGTAAGAGTGGAAAGCCTCACACACTCTTGACTGATCATAATGGAAAGCAGTTTGGTCTTGTTCTATACACTCATTAACATAGATAAGAAATATTCCACTCCTATGTACTTACCCATACAAAATGAAAACCTGAAACCTGTTTCCCTTCAAATCTGCATACAAATACCCATAATAGCTTTTTTTTTTGGGGGGGGGGTCTTACTGTATATTCCTGGTCAACCTGCTATGTAGACCAGACTTGGCTCAAAGTCATGGAGATTCATCTGCTGCTACCTCCTGAGAGCTGGGAAATGTGTGTGCAGCCAACCAGCTCCTTAATAGGCTTTGCTTGTTACCAGACCCAGATTACAAGTGAGTC